TTTTGTTTTTGGTTTTCAGTGGGACATGTTTTAGTGATACACACCGCTAGTAAGTTTAGCATGAAAACAGTCACAGGTTGTCTCTCCTTCGAATCTATGTATCGAACCATCCACTTATCTAGCATAGCATGACAAACAACAAAAAAAAAAAAAAAAACTTGGCAGAGATGGATACTGCTGGATACTACTGGAATTTCATTGGTATATGACTTGTGTGTTTGATATTTACTTTGTTTGTCATGGTTTTGAAGGTTACCCACCCATGTATGACATGGCCACGGCCTCTTCCAGAGCAGGGTCTAGCCATAATCACAGAAGAACATCACAGCTCCATGCCATTGGTGAGTCCAAGCTAGTGTATGTACCTTATAAACTGTGAATCTGTGCATTACCTGTCTGAAGTGTAGAAAAGTTCATTTTGACTGATCCTGTCTCTCTGTCAGGGTAGGTAATGAAATAACTGCTTTTGTGTTATGTGAGTAAATGGTAGCTTTAGCGACTTTGGAGCAGCAGGATCACATTGAATGTGCTGCTTTGTAAAACAGTTTAAACTCAGAGGAAAGACTGGAAAATCAAAGAAAAATCTTATTTGCTTCTGTTTTTAAATGGAAATGTCAGATACCAATAAATATACCAGTCAGCAGCCTCCCTGATGCCTGTAAGTTTTTCAGTGAGACAAAATGTGAAAATGGAGCACAGAAGAGGCCCAGTGTTTGGTTTGCCTGGGGCCCCTAAATCAATAAATCTGCCCCTGAATGGGATCAATAATATATCACATTATTTAATAACGTCTATTTTCTTTCTGCATGTTCCTTTCTTCAGTTTCCTGTGCCAAAATCAAGAGGAAAAAGAGCCTGTTTGGAAGTACCATTTATGTTGAAGTGACAGCGGAGGGGGAGTCGTGCCGCACAGCAAAATGTCACAGCTCCTCCAGTCCAAAATGGGATGAGAGGCTCACTCTGTAAGAAGCTGCAGTTTACCTGCTCTGTTGGGCTTGATAATTATTTGATAAATGGCAAATGTTGCACAATAACACACAGAACTCTTTGTATCATTTGAAATGCTAGTGAAGTAAGCCACCTGGTCATGACAGACATTTATAACTGTCTGGCTTCCATATGGCTCTGCCAAATGTTGGAGGCAACTCCTTCCAAAAGATAATTGCTTTGATTGGGTAATTATTGCTGATGGAGTGCTGCTATGATTGGTCTTGTGTTTGCATCATGAAGTACAGTGGAACCTCGGTTTTCATGATTAATCTGTTCGAAAAAGTCCGACGAATCGTACGAAAACTGAAGCAATATTTCCCATAAGAAATAATGTAAATCCGATTAATCCGTTCCAGATACCCAAAAATATTAACAAAAAATACATTTTATAGAGAATAACAATATTTTTACATACTGAAAACAATGAGAAATTAATATAAATGACTAATGAAATGGATAAATGAATATTTAACATCACTTTTACCTTTATTGAAGACTCTTGTTGGCGTATAGAAGATGGCGAGGAGGGGAGAGGGAGGTGGAGAGGTTATTGTTTGGAAGGGGAATCCCCTTCCATAAGGACTTTATGTATCAAGGTCCTATCTGAGGTTACTTCAGGGTTTATTTAGCAGTCACAACAAGCACAAAAAACAATGGCAGACTGAGTCTCGAACGCATGGGATGCTTTGTGTGGGCGCTCGATTCTGTGAAATGAGTGGCCGAGCCACGCGAGCAGGCAGACGAGTTTGGTATGGGCTAATGATGCTGAACAGACCAATCAACTGTACAAAAACTGAGCGGACGAAAACTGGGACAAAATTTTGATGAAAAATGTAGTTGAAAATCAAATCGTACGAAAAGTAGGACATACGAAAACCAAGGTTCCACTGTATTAGCAAGCTGTTACGGGTCCTACACATAGCTCTTAGGTAATAATTTTTGATATTTCTGAAGAACATAACCACAATACAAAGATTGGGCTGTGTAGTGTTCATTTTGAGAGAGGACAGACCATTATGTAAGCTGAGTAAATCAGTCTTTCAGCCTGCATTAAGGACAAGTTATTTTTTTAAGGGGGAGGAGATGAGAGCCATCTAAGTAATCGTGCTTTTTGTTGTGCTTTTAAGAGGGAGCATATGCTGAAAGCACTGGTGAATGGTGGTTTTATTTGCTATATGTATGTATTCAAAGCTGTTTTAAGAATTAACATGTGGCTTGTGTGTTTTTGACATTCCAGGAATGTAACACCATGCACACAGGTGGATTTCAAAGTATGGAGTCACCACACCCTGAAAGCAGATGCTCTGCTGGGCAAAGCCACACTGGACCTGATGCAAGCCTTGGAGCAGCATGACAGAAAGTGTAGGGTTAAGATGCATCAAATAAACAGAGCCATATTACAATACAAGGTGTAGAGTGGTCATGTGCGACACCCATAGTTCCTATTTAGCAACTATAGGTGTGGCACAGTACCAGACAACAGCAGAGTCATTAAGGCACTTTGTGCTTGATACAGCAGCTTCAGAGAATATTCACTTACCTTCACTTTTTCACACTTTATTGTATTGTGGATTTAATTTAAGATTAATAAAATTACCATTTGCATTTTACCAGTCTACACTCAGTAACCCACAATGACAACGTAAAAACATGTTAAACACATTTATTAAAACTTAAAAATTGAAATTTCTCATTTACAAAAGTATTCAGACCCTGTTCAGTGGCACTTCACATTATATTTTCTTATCCTTGGAGTCCACCTTTTTGAAACTGAATTAGCTGGACACATTTTAGGAAGACACACTTGTATGTGTATGGTTCCACTGTTTACACTCTGACCTGCCAACCTATATGCGTTTTGATATCAAAGTATGCTAGTAAGATCTGTCACTCTAAAATATGCAAAAAGCTGGTGACACCTTGTGAGTTTGAACCATAGACTGTGCAGTAACTCGGGATGTCCTGATCCAATATATAGCACAACAAAGTGAAGGAGTCTAAATACTTTCTCAAGGCACTGTATATCACCTTAGTATCTCATCCATTGAAATTATAGTATAGTATTAACAGAATAAACAAAATAAGGCATGTTTCACCATTTTGGATTCTTTCAGGATAAATATAATGCAAAAAACCTGGTTTGGTTGAGTTATTCCACAAAATTGACTTACAGGTGATTTATAATAGGAGCTCTTATGGTTTGTCAGCCAGAATCACCATGGCAATGATTGTGCTGTCACACTCTGCCACACTGCAGATCATGTGAATATTATAAATGAAGCATTTCTTACTTTGTGGGGCTGTTTTTGTTTGTTTTTTAATTGATGTCATGCCATTGTAATAAATTCATCCATACTATCCCTGCTGTGGCTTTACAGTAGAGAATGTGAAGGAAGTGCTGAAACTAAGCATGGAGCAAAAGGGAGCTGTGGTGGTCATGGGGGAGCTGACTGTCTACCTAGATGGATTGACTGTCACTGACCAGGAGGAACTGACACCACTTACCAATGGCAATGCAGAAAACGGCACCAGTGAGCATAGTCTTCATATGTTAATAGTGGCAATAGGGAGGCTGTAATTTTAATTACCATGCATACTATTAAATTAAAATTGACAGGGAAACGCGTGGAGAGAAAAATTCCTAAAAGCATGCATGTATATACAAAATACTGGTGAACTAACACTCAAGTCTCTCCTACTTTGAATTGATACACATGCACATATTTGTAAGTGAACGTAATTTTCTCTAATCCCTTTCAGAAGTCCAACAGAATGGCGATGCTATCCATGAAAATGGAGAGTCATCCTCCTCTTCCTCAAGGGCTGCCAGCAGGTAAACACATCAACCATTTTGGGGAATCTTCTGTTGCTCCTTGTCTCATGAGGAAGAAGATTCTGTCTACTACACTTTTCCAAAACCGTTTTGGCCTGGTTAGGATAACTCCTTCAAACCAAAGGGCATGTTTAGCCTCAAGTAAAAGAATGCTAACAGACCACAAATCAGAATCTGCTTTATTGGCCAGGTGTGTTGGACACACGAGGAATTTGACTCTGGTACATCTGGTACAAGAGATCTGTGATGGCACAGTTTAAAAAGTCCTTTAAAGGATAAGGTCATCATTTTTTATATTATTATTTCCAACACTCTCCATACAGAGACTAAACCCAACACTGAATTACCTCTACTCATGGTTAATGTCTGTCAGTCTCCAACCTGGACTATCTTATTCGTCTGTCATAGACCTCTGTTGTTGTTTAAAAAAATGATATAAAAAACACATCATCAAACACTGCTGCACTGGGTGATATATTTTTTCATTACAAAACACTTGATCCACATATTTGTTAAAAATGTTTCCCCAAAAGTGCCAAATGACCATAGGTTTTTGCAGCATCTGAAGTAGCAAGCTTTAATTACACATGCATGAGATCTCTGTGAAAGCGCAAGGCGCTAGCAGACTGTAAACGAAGCAGAGGGCTTGCACAAATGGGCTCTATTTTTGTGAAATATAGGTTGCAGTGGCGATCAGAAGTCTAAATTCAACATAGAGGAGAGGTTGAATACATTATTGGGAGGAGGAGTGCATTATGATAAGGTGGAGTGGGGCTGATGTTTTAATGGCCAGCTGGGCAGCTACAGGGTGTGAAACCATGAGTTACAGCTGAAAATCTCAAAACAATACTACAGGGGCATCTCTGAAATGTTTCTAGTAATTTTCTAGAAACACCCATGTTTTGTCTCGGTGTGAACTGAGCCATTAGGTAGGTTTTGTATTTGTCTTAGTTTGGGCACCAGCTGAACTCTGCTAGCTCACAAAAGGGCCTTTTCAGTGGTGCCCATTACATCACCACCCCATCTCTTACCCCTGCAAGACAATAGTCTCTATGTCACAAGTCTTTTATCTGACACCAACAAAAAACTCTTTCTAAGCCCTGTAAATTGAGGTTTTTGCACGTCTGTTTTGGGTCAGTAGTAAAAACAAAACTTGAGTTTCTTGTTTTTCAAATTCATATCTTTTGTTTTACTATAACTATATATATGTGCTACATAATGTATTATGAGTTTAGAATTTGTTAGTTAATTGAGAAATTGTGCTATCCCTCCATCTCTTCCACATCAAATTCAGATTTGATCCAAATGCTGTTGAACTCCTTGTGTGTGTGTGTGTGTGCGTTCTTCTAAAGCACAGTGAATGGTACAGGCTTGGGCCCGAGGACAGGTTCCTGTTCGGCCTCCGACAGTCAGGTGCCTTCCAGCTCCTGCAGCCCTGCCCTGAGACGTGTTGTCAATGGAGACGCCACACCTGACTCCACCCCAGTCCATCAGCCCTCAGACAGTGACACAGAAAGTAGGACAGGTGAGTCTGCATTTCACAAGGTGTGAATTACAGTAACTGAGAATGTTTCAGAAATCAATCCCTGGATTCCCAGACTTGTCCTGTGTGTTTCTGACCTTTTCAGTGCTTTGTTGTTCTTCTCATTTACTGTCATATTCCCTCCATATGTGTCACTGGATATGATTCATATGAGAACTGAGCAAAATATTTATTGAATATGTATGATAAGCTAGTCTATAGCAGTGTCCTGTGACAAAGATGGAATACTACACATCCTTGACAAAGCACCACAGTAAGGCCCTGATCAAATAGAGGTTTGCTCACTGCCTTTTGCATTGCTGAGTGCCTCTCATTTTTCCACCCTATGTGCCTTGCGTTTTTTAGGGGTGTTTTGAATGCTTCCAGGTGAAAAAAAAAAACTTCATCTCAGAGCCGAAAAGCACCTGATGTAATTACCTTTTTTTTTCTTTGTCCACTCAACTCAACTAAGGTAGGCCTTCTGTGGTGATGATCCAAAATATAGTGTAGACCTACCAAAAAAAACCCCAACCCAACTGCAAGAAAAGTGTGCTCCCTGTACCTGGTGATGTGAGACCTGATGATTGACACCAGATTGTCAAACTGTCTAACAAACATGCTGAATGTGTCTCAGTCATTAATGGCATTACATGTATATATTGAGAATTGCTGATCATCGATCAATATGACAAAAATATTATAATATTTTTGGCCATATTGCCCAGCCCTAATGGAGAATATAAATGTTTTAATGGTGTACCTAAAGTGGGTTGTCACTTTTAAAAATTCATTTGAAAGAAGTACTGGTGTGCCCTAATCATAAAAATTGGCTGAATCACTTGAGTGACAAGCTAACGAGCAACTTAAGGATTGTTGTGGTAACATTACTGTTGAATTTTTAAAATTCAATATGATATTGGTCTTTGAGGAGATGTATGCTGTACACACGTTCACCAGTCACAGGGTGAAGTGGGTGAAAATTGGATAATCTGTTTCAGAAAGAGAAATGGCCAGGCACAGACCCTCCCTGTCCTTCCCTATTGAATGGTGTGGATGGAAGGGGTTTCTGAAGCTATTTGATCTGCAGTTCTGATGGAGTAAAAGTCCTACTTAATGGACACTTGTTGCATATACATCCATTTAAAAGAGTTCTTTTTCTTAAGACATCACTGACATCAAGTCCTGGATGAAGGAAGTGTTTAGACCATGCATTTAAAAACTGTTGTCTTTCCCTTATTTACCTGCAGTCAATGGGGAGTCCTGTGATGTTCCTCTCAGGCCATCTTCTGAAACAGCAGGCGATGTGCAGCCTCCTGGTGAAGAGTGTGAGGACTACAGTCACAGTGCCGCTCTGCCAGACTCTGACACAGCACTAGATAGCACATCTCAATGCCTGCCACCCTCCACACAGGCTCCAACCTCCTCTTCTGCTGCTAAGCCCAATAATAATAATGATGCTGCTGCTGCTTCCCCAGCTCAGGGGGCAGCCACCGTCACTGCATCTTCATCATCATCCTGTTCCTCCCCAGCAATGGGAGAAGTGAATGCTTCAGGTGCAAGTGCAAGTGTGCCTGCAGATGGAGCCAAGCCCATGCAGCAAGTCCCAAGTGCTGGAGCCTCAGATCCTCTGCCACCAGGGTAAAAACACCACCAGCCTTGCACAACCTTGTAAAGTTTTTTTTTTTTTTCTGCTTTGGTCTTTTTTTGTTATCTTTTTCAAATTAATTGTGTCAATTGTGTTTTTTGTATTTTTAGATGGGAGCAGAGGAAAGACCCACATGGGAGAACATACTATGTAGACCACAACACCAGGACTACTACTTGGGAAAGACCACAGCCACTGCCACCAGGGTGAGTGTTTATCTTTTTCACTTTCTGTCTTTAGCTTCTTTCAGTCTGGGTTCTGTAACTTTACCAGGTTGGTTCGTCTGTTTAAACTGTATTGTATTGGCTTTCATACATAGGTCATCATAAGACTCTATCCACTCCAGATGGCTTTCAACCATCTGGTTAGGTTAATGATATTCCAATTCCAGCTAAATTCCAATTTATATTTCTCACACTCTGTTTTGGTCTCTGTAGACTAATTATTTAAACAACTGGTAGTTCATAATATATTGTCCTAGTATATGCTAGGGATGGGCTGTTACACATTATGGGGGTGACTGTGGTTCGGTGGGTAGAGCAGTCATCTCCCAACCAGAGGGTCGAGGTTCGAATCTTAGTGCCTGCAGTCCACGTGTCCTTGGGCAAGACACTGAACCCCCAAGTTGCCCCCGATGGTTAGAGCCATCGGTGTGAGTTGGCGCCGCAGATGGCTGCCTCGGTTCTGTACCGGAAATAAAATCCTTGTGTGCAACATACTTGGCCAATAAAGGTGATTATCCTTATTATTTTTTCAGTTGTGATCTGATTCAGAATCAGCTTTATTGGCCAGGTGTGTCAGACACACGAGGAATTTGACTCTGGTACA